GTTCTTGGCTGGTTCTTGGCTGGTCCTTGGCTGGTCCTTGGCTGGTCCTTGGATGGTCCTTGGCTGGTCCTTGGCTGGTTCTTGGCTGGTCCTTGGCTGATCCTTGGCTGGTCCTTGGATGGTCCTTGGCTGGTCCTTGGCTGGTTCTTGGCTGGTCCTTGGCTGATCCTTGGCTGGTCCTTGGATGGTCCTTGACTGGTCCTTGGTTGGTCCTTGGCTGATCATTGGCTGGTCCTTGGATGGTCCTTGGCTGGTTCTTGGCTGGTTCTTGGCTGGTCCTTGGCTGATCCTTGGCTGGTCCTTGGATGGTCCTTGGCTGGTCCTTGGCTGGTTCTTGGCTGGTCCTTGGCTGATCCTTGGCTGGTCCTTGGCTAGTCCTTGGCTGGTCCTTTCGTCGGTCCTTGGCACATCCTTGGCTGGTCCTTGGTGGGTCCTTGGCTGGTCCTTGGCTGGTCCTTGGCTGTTTTTAATAAACTGCCTTTACTGTGAGGCAAATGGCTCCAAACTGGGATGTAATGGTAACAGACCAGTATGAAACCCTAACCAGTCCTAAACACTAAAGTCTGGTTTATGCTCAGAAACCAGGTGGTCTGCACCCCCCTCCCCCCACCTCCTTCTTGTAGATGATTTCACACATTCTTTGTCTTTACTTCTACTTCTAGCTGCAGCTCTTTTTACCTTTAAAGCATTTTACCGCCCCCTAAAGGACTGGAGGGAGACGTTTAGTGTCTTACTCTTAAATATAGCATGATAAGAATCTGCACCTCTGCGATTTGAAAATTGCATTTTGGTAAACAGCGATCATATTTCAAATGTAATTATTGCCCAGTCTGAGGTGTCTCTGTGTGGCTATAGATAGGACTGCTTTGCTTTATTTGCGTTTACACCCCCAGCTTCAATCAATGCGCCTTCCACAGCTGGCAGTGGGACTTTATTGGGAGTGACACTTGATGGTTAAAGGGTTAGTCGTTAGGGTTAGTTCTGCTGAATCGTCGACCATGATCCTCCCCACAGCGCCCCCTCTGGCCACCTTAGCTGCACGTCTTTTCTGCCGTTAGGCAGGCGGCGTTTTTACAGTGTTTCACAGCAGGAAATATTTCCACATGATCCACTTCTTGTGCGTTTAGTTGACGTCTGTTAGCCAGCGGTTTACAGCAATAGGTTGGGGAGGGGCAGCCCGTTGCTCTATGCTCCAGAGAAACAGAATTTTATGTCTCTGCTTTAACGGCCTGTCTTCTGCTCCTCTCACAGCGCCGAACCGGCCATGGAGACCCCGTCACCGAGAGCTACGGAGAAGAAGGACAAAATGGACGGCAGCAGCTTCAGTGACGTCCCAAAGAAGGCCTCGCCCTCCGAAACCAGAGGTAACCTGATGTTTAAAAGTTTCTGCAGACCGCCGGACGGACGCTTCGGGTCCGTCCGGGGGTCTGCCCGCTGTGACCTGTTTGACAATGAGTCCAGGTCTCACAGGTGCTCAGTCAGGGGGCAAAAGGGGGAGGGACCATGAAATATACATGTCAAAGAAGGTGTGCCGTCCAGGGAGCCAGGTCCCGGCTCTCCTCGGGCCTGATGAGAGACCCTCGGCAGTCAGAGGTGACTTACTGTAGGCGTCTGCCAGGAATCCTAATGGAGCCGGAGCCATGAAAGAATCATGAATGCAGATGGACCCAGTGCGAAGGCTGGGCGTCGTTCCGGTGCCGTTCGAGCGCCTAAACGGCGTGCAGCAGAAAACACGGCGTGACAGCAGAGCAGGGGGGTCGGAGCAGGTGAGGTTTGGTGTTGTTGAACTAAATGCAGAGTAGCAGTGATCCTCACTGGCTGGCAGGAAGAGAGAATACATGTTTAAAAGATGTCCGCCAGCGTGTGATGAAAGCTGGGCATAATGAGGCTGAAAGACCTTGTTCTTACCTCCAGAGTATAGAGAAGAAAAAGCAGGGAAAGCGTCTGGGGTCTGATGGAGCCGAGGACGACACGGCGCTTCAAAAACCCACAGAGATGCAAGCTGATGGGCCTCTTTGACATGCAAATTAAACGTGTGATTTAGTGACATTTTTACTCATTCATGGAGGACTTGGTGGCCTGCCATTACAAAGAAACGCTCATTAATTGGTAAAGAGGAGACGGCCTCGTTCCAAAGGAGCAGCACAGTTTGCAAAAAACTCACAGGCGTCAACTTTTAGCTTATAGGAGAAGATTTCTGACCAAAACTAACCGTTTTATCGCTTCTTACCCAGAAATGTCTCCAAGAAACACAAAGAAATAACATATAAATACCAGAAGAACCTTTCATGTGAACGTTGGAGAGAGCAGAGCTGTAGGAAAGTCTGACAGATCAGAACTTCCACCGTCCGCTTCCTGGTCTTTGGCTCCAGGCAACGTTTGCAGATGATCTGAAGCTCTGCAGCAATAAAACAGGAATCACTCAGAGCGGCCTAATCAAAGTCTGTCAGGGGTTTTAAAATACATAAGTCCAAATGGACCCGGTTTGACCCGAGTGGACCAAAATGGATCAGAATGGACCAAGATAGACCAGATTGGACCAAAATGGATCAGCTTGGACCAATATGGCCACTGGCAGATTGTTTGGAAGTTTATCCCTCATTTAACATCTAAATAAACTCATCCTCTGTGTGTTTAATCTGTTGATCTTTGGTCTGAGTGTTGGAGATGAAACATCTGAGCCTGATTCTGAAGACAAACACGTCTACTGAGTGTTTTTTGGTTGAACAGCTCGATGTTTCCTCACTTTCAGCTCGAAGCAGCAGAGTTTTCCTTTGCTCAGTCAGAGGCGTTTGATCTGGAGGGAACGGTTCCCTTCACTTGGTTCTGCTGTGGTTCTGATGGACCGCTCCTATCGTTCATTTCACTGGAGGCAAAGGAAAAGCGACTATAGTTAGAACCATGATGCGACCACAATCCAATTATGATGCAGACAAGATAACAGATTATTTATTTTATTAAAAGCCTCAAATATCATTTCCTTCAATATTTAGATTTACTAAAAAATTATTTATAGTTTCAGATGCTAAGATGCTACATTTTTATTTCTTTCAATCAGCCATTTCAGCTAAACCTGTTACTTCATGTCATTTAGAAACTATAACTAGAATAGAATTCAACTTTATTGTCATTCCACTGTCACAAGTACAGAGCAATGAAATTAATTCTCTGCAGCGCCGGGGAGCAGTGTGGGGTCAAGGGTCTTGCTCAGGGACCCAGAGTGGCAGTCTGTGGGGGTGGGGGATCAAACTCACAACCTCAGGATTCAAAGCCCTATGCCCTACGCTAGGCCGCCACTCCTAGCAACTAAATGCATGAGAAGAGATTTATGATGGAAAACTACAAAAGAATGAAATAGATGCTTGGCTTTTATGGAATTAATAAAATAAAAGATTTGGGTTTTTAATCGATCTGGATTCATGAGACTTTAAATTCCCTGAAAATAAACTCTTTAGTTTGATTTAAATTTTGGCAAAGGTCAAAGGTCAAAAGCAGGTCCTTTTGTTTCGACGATCGCTTTAAAAAAAATAGATCTTTCCATCTTTATGTCTCAGGTTGGTCTTGATAACATCCGTATTTCCCAACTTTCTGCTCGTGTCGTTGGAATATAGAGAATTAAAATATGAACAGGATCAATGTTTGATGGAATGGGCTCCGTCAGGATGGACTGAGGGTTCTGTTGTTCTGAAGGGTCCGGTTGTTCTGAAGGTTCTGTTGTCCTGAAGGGTCTGGTTGTTCGAAAGGGTCAGTTTGTTCTGCAGGGTCCGGTTGTTCTGAAGGTTCTGTTGTCCCAAAGGGTTTCGGTTGTTCTGAATGGTTCGGTTGTTCCGAAGGGTTCAGTTGTTCTGGAGGATTCTGTTGTCCTGAAGGGTCCAGTTGTTTCCAAGGGTCCAGTCGTTCCCAAGGGTCCGGTTGTTCTGAAGGTTCTGTTGTTCCGAAGGGCCCGGTTGTTCCGAAGGGCCTGGTTGTTCTGAAGGTTCTGTTGTTCCGAAGGGCCCAGTCTTTCCGAAGGGTCAGTTTTTCCGAACGGTCCGTTTGTTCCGAAGGGTCCGTTTGTTCCGAAGGGTCCGTTTGTTCTGGAGGGTTCTATTGTTCTGAAGGGTCCAGTTGTGTCCAAGGGTCTAGTTGTTCCCAAGGGTCCGGTTGTTCTGAAGGTTCTGTTGTCCCAAAGGGTCCGGTTGTTCTGAAGGGTCCATTTTTTCTGAAGGGTCCGATTTTTCTCAAGGGTCAGGTTGTTCTGAAGGGTCCGTTTGTTCCAAAGGGTCCGGTTGTTCTGGAGGATTCTGTTGTCCTGAAGGGTCCAGTTGTTTCCAAGGGTCCATATGTTCCCAGGGGCCTGGTTGTTCTGAAGATTCTGTTGTTCCGAAGGGCCCAGTCTTTTCGAAGGGCCCGGTTGTTCCGAAGGGTCCGGTTGTTCCGAGGGTTCTGTTGTTCCGAAGGGCCCAGTCTTTCCGAAGGGTTCGGTTGTTCGGAAGGGTCAGTTTTTTCTGAAGGGTCTGGTTGTTCTGGAGGATTCTGTTGTCCTGAAGGGTCCAGTTGTTTCCAAGGGTCCAGTTGTTCCGAAGGGCCCGGTTGTTCCGAAGGGCCCGGTTGTTCCGAAGGGTTCGGTTGTTCGGAAGGGTCCGGTCCAGATGTTGGGCCTAGTGTGAGCGTCCCAGCATGGAAGTGAGGCTGACAGGCAGGGAGGCCGTTTGTTTCAGAGATGTCAGCGATCCTCTGATGAAAGGCGCCTTTAATGAGGTTAAAAGACCTCGTTCTCACCTCCAGAGTAAAGACGATGGTTCTGACGGAGAGGACGGCGCTGAAGAGTGCTGACACGGATGCAGAGCGACAGGCCACTTTGAAATGCAAATGGCTGCAGCGGTTCTGCGGCAGACCTCCAGTCTAATGAAAGTTGGTGGCCTGCCACGCTGCAGAACCAACGCTAATTGTTCAGAGAAGAACATCAATGTGGGACACGACTCTGGGTCCGGAGCTGCTGCTGCTCCACTTCTTTCCTCGGCCCTCTTCAATATTTGAACAAAGCCGACTCTTCCCGGCTCCTATAATAATTCCCACAGAGCCTCTGCCGCCTGATTGGGTGGACTTTCCAGATGTTCTGGTTAGCCGCTCGCCTCAGAACCATAAGATGTTAGATTAATGAGAAATCAGCTCGTCGGAGGAGATGGAGTCGCTGCTGCAGGCGGTTTAAGGACGTTCTGGGGAGGTTCTCCAGAACCAGCTGATGTTTCTCTGGTTTGGTCTCCAGGAGGACCTGGGTGGTTCTGGTCCTGGTTTTATTTGATGGAACCAAACTTCCTTAAAACTGTTTTTGAGTCCAGTTCTGGCACCGTTTTTCTCCCTGAAGCAGATTTTTTATTTACTTTCCCGTTTCATCAATGTTCGACCCTCTGCCTCTGGGTCTGAATCTCCCAGCAGCTAAAACTAAGAGCCTCTCCATAACTCTTCCTCCCTATCGGCACCGACCGCTTTAATCTGAAATAAACAAGCAGCGTGGTTTGGCGGCGGCCGTCCCAGCCAATCAGATAGCGGAGAAGCTTAAAAGCGTGTGCCACGCCGATGAGACAAAGCAATTACTTATCTCCGTAATATGCATTATTATTCCAGTTGCCCGCTCCTGATAAGTCAATCTGCAGCTGAGAGCGAGGCAGACCCAGAAAGGTCCTTGAACCTGAAGGCCTTTTTCCATGGAAAAGTACCCAGTGGTGATATACGGCTGCAGGCCCCGTTTATTGTCTGGCTTTGGTTTACTGTTGGCTGCAGGATTCCCGTCACCTAAGTCATGCCCACCTCTGAGCCCCCGACAGCAGCTGTATAACAGCCCGCCCTGTTTTATATTCCCGTCCGGCTTTATTTATTTAGAACAATTTCCTCTCTATCAAAGGACACGGCTAATGCAGAGTTTTAATATGTTATTTACACATAAAAAAACAAGCTATTTACAGCAGCGTCTGTGTGCAGAAGGAGGGGGAAATGAATGGGCCCCGGTTGCACCTCTCCGATCGGTTATATCACAGTTTAACAATCTGGATTGCTAATAGAACCATTTATCATGGAGCGGTCATTTATTTCACGCGGGCAGCGCGGGGTCCTGTTCCCAGAGGCCTATGGAAATGGGCTGCGCATATAATGAAGCTGGAGTGAGACTTGTTTAAAACACGGATGCGTCGCTCTACGAGTCAATTAGAGGGACTCAGGTGTTCCTGCTGCTCCTATCTGCTGCGTCCTGATCCTCCTCCAACCTCTTTGTTCAGAACCTAATGGTGGCACGCTGCTTTTTGGACGCGGATCGCTGTCATTTAGCAGGAAATCAACCCCAGCAGCAGCTTTTCACCAACTCAAGTCCTCCATCCTCCCCTGACCG